TACTCATTAGCCTCAGAGGATAGTCAATAACCATCATTTCTGTGGCCCAGCAGGGACCACAGCTGAAAATTGATATCCTTTGGTGGAAAAAGGGGTAGAAGAAGGGTCAACAGATGTGTGTGTGTGTGTGTGTGTGTGTGTGTGTGTGTGTGTGTGTCAGAGAGAGAACACAATGCTCAGTCTGGCTGTGGTCAGTTAGAATTGATTTGTGCAAGGCAGGTAATATTTCCAATAGTGGTATTCACTGTCAGTAATATTTCCAATAGTGGTATTCACTGTCAGTGCAACATGACTAGTTTGGAGAATGGAAAAGAAGAGAAACTACTGCATTTCACTTAAAAAATGATCTGACCTCATGTAGGAAACTAGCATACTATTTACCTCAGTAAATATAGTTATCTATACATGAGAAGCACTTTCCAGGAGAGAAAATGAACCCCAAGCATATTCACCAAAGTGTAGACAAAATGATTTAGACAATTAAAAGTGTTGAATCTGAGTTTTTTATTGTGAATATACTGTACAGAGGGATTACAATTACATGGGCAAGATAATGAGTACATTTATTATCAAGCATTGTAGCCTCCTCCTTTGTTTCCCCTTCCCATCCCTCCCTCCCCCTCCCCTCCTGAATCTGTTTTTAAACTTCCAACAGTAGTAACAGCAAAGGCTTCTGAGCTTCTAGAAGGTGTGTGCACATTCCTGTGTGAGTGCATTACTCTCCCTTTCTAATTAATACAGGCATGAAATTAGATTAATGGCTTCAAATAGAGCTTAATCATTGTCGTTACCAAGCCTAGAATTATAGAAATGACTGCTCTAAAATAACCTAATCCAACCTCTTAATTGTACAGATGAGGATATTGATGCCTTCAGTCAAAATTATGAAATTAATGAGTTGGAGCCTGGATTGCAAGTTGGTTTCATGCAATAAATCTGCCAGGCTTGTCCATCAACTATGTAAGATGCACATAGTCTTCCTAAGTCTAGGCATATCTGTAAGATGCTGGCTTTCCTGTCCTTTGTCTTTTTTAAAAAATGGAAATTGTCTGAACCCAGACAAACTAACCAAAAGTACTTAATTGAATTAGGCTAGGAAAGAGAAATTTGAAATCTATACCTCCCTGAGTTGGAGGCAGCTACAGGGTCAGGATAGGTAAGTGGGGGCCAACAAGAAAATGGCCCCTCCACCTGGCAAATCAGACAAGAACAGAAGTCATGGGAGCACACTGGCTACAGCAGGAGAAAACATGGCAGCTTAGACAAAGAAGAGACATATGGGGCCTCCAGGTTCCCTGTGTATTAGAGAGTAACTTAAATCTATAAAGAGCTTACCACTGAACTTGACTTAGTTGTTGGTGCCAATGTAATTCATGGAATCAAAGTAGCTTGGCTGAGCATCTGTCAACCTGAGCATTGTTGCCCAAACTTGTTCTTGGGGAAAACTGGAGAATAGAACCAGAGGAAGGTCCTCCTACCGTATAGGGCTGATGGCGGTCACCTTACCATGCATGAAGGTCCCTCGCCTTCCCATTTTCTACACAAAAATCACCAGTCTTGAGATCCACTCAAAGGATCACCTTTTTGATGTTTAGTTTTAAAAGAATTTCCCTATCCTCATCTCTCTATTCTGTCTCAATGTGAGTGTGTCGTAGATACTCTAATGTAGTAAATGAAACCATTTTTAAGATTCCAGAAATAGGGGCTGGGGAGGTGGCTCAGTGGTAGAGTGCTTGACTTGCATGCTTGAGGCCCTGGGTTCAATTCCTCAGCATCACATAAGCAGAAAAAGTGGCGCTGTGGCTCAAGTGGTAGAGTGCTAGCCTTGAGCTGAAGAGCTGAGGGACAGTGCCCAGGCCCAGAGTTCAGGCCCCACGACCAGACCAAAAAAAAAAAAATTCCAGAAATAATTTGACTCTTCACCTTTTAATTCTAATTCATCTTGAGTACAAATCTTTCCTAGAGGAGTATCTGTATAGTAGAGATTAAATAGTAGAGTTATTACCTTCTATTACCAGAGTTAAAACATCCTTTTAAAAATAATTTTAACAGGTAGAAAGAAACTAGTGGGAAAAATTTCCGTAAGGTTATCCTCTAACATTCTCTCCTCTCTCACTCTACTCCTCTTTCCTAAACTCCCTGCTGTTTTTTGAACATCAGAATAGGAGAATGGAGGGAGGGAGGGAAGGCAGAAGGGAGTCAGCTTTGCTTTCTCTCCAGGGAATATTATGACACCTATCCATCTCTGTGGCTAGTCTCCTTCTAAGAGGTCTGCCCTGACCCTATTACTTACCACCACTGTCTATTTCTTCTAGCAGCCAGAACTCCCTGCCATCCCCTTAACATGATTACCTGTCCCCCATCGCATAAAAGAGGATTTATTTATTAAGTTCAATAAGATAACAACTAGAACATATGACCTCCACAAAGGACAGAAGTCTGTGTCCATTTTGTTTACTTATTTATCTCCAAAGCTTAGGATGCAGTAAATGCTCAATAAATATTTTTTAGTAAATAAGTGGCCACATGGATCTTAACTCCCAAGGATAGAAATTTAATGAGTTCTACCAGGTTAAGCCTACATGTAGCCTTGTTTTTCCTAATCATGATTTGCTCATAGGTCAGGTTCTCAGGATACATTTTCTTTTTGATCATTTATCTCTCTTGATGAATGATCTAGAGGGAAGTATTCCTCTTTCTCAAAAGGTTTTAGGAAGAGCATCAACCTTTGCCCTTAAGTTCCATTGAAATTCAGTTTACTGTGGAAGAAATAGAAAATAGAAATAGAAAAAATCAGGCCAAGACGCTGTTTCTAACATCAAACCATGTCAAGATGGTAAAGAAATAAGTAATATTAAAGAAAGATCATCTTTTCACTTGGGCCAAGCAGTAACTTTCTTGAAGCTGCCCAAAATAAAAATGGTTGATTTACTATTACTCCTGCCAGATATTGTTTAAAATTACCATGGAGAAAGTATAGATAATGAGGAGAGGCCCAGCTCAAGAAATCCATGAGATGAGGAAACAAACAAACAAACCACTATGTCTGTCAATATTTAGGCTTCAAAAACAAAATGTCAGAGTAAGAACCATGTGAGGAGCAGCAGCAGTTTATGTCTTCCAGTTTTAAAGTCTGATGAAGGCCCATTTCCTCTTTACAAATGGCATCTTCTAGCTGTGCCCCCATAGGACAGGAGGGTATGGGAGCATGCTGGAGCCTCTTTAATAGAGCAACTAATCCCATTCAAGAGGGGTCAGGCCTCATGACCTAATCACACCCCTAAAGCCCCACCCTTTAACACTGTAACCATGGTTAATCAGATTTTAACACATACATGTAGGAGGAAAGGGCCTCTTTCACACCGTAGCACTACTTTAAACCTTATGATTCGGCTTCTCAGGCTTTCCACAGCCAGCACACAACCATGCCTGAAAATCATATGATGTTCTTTTCCTCCCACCATTGCTGGCCTTCTCTTAAGAGAAGCCACATGTTGGTCAAAAAGAACAACAAATACCTTTAGAAGCTATAGTCACAGGCTGGCCAAGAACTGGATTTGCATTGTTGCCTCAAAGACTTTTCTTCTTTGTATGTATGGGGCTTTGAATCAAATGCAAATCCTTACAAATGCTAAGCAAGCACTCTATCACTCAGCCATACCCCAGCTCCAAAAAGTATTCTTACAGTTTATGTTAGCTTTCTGTTACTGTGACAAAAATACCTGTGATACATCAACTTACACATTTGATCATATGGTTTCAGTCCATGGCTTTTGGACCTGTATCAAGCCAACGCATTGGATTTGGAGCACATGGTAGAGGAAGTTGCTTGCCTCAAGACAGATTGGAACCAAAAGAAATAAAGATATGGCCGGGTTCCCGTGGCTCACACCTGTAATCCTAGCCACTTAGGAGGCTGAGATCTGAGGATCATGGTTCAAAGCCAGCCCAGGCAGGAAAGTCCATGAGACTCATCTCCAATAAAGCATCAGAAAACCAGAAGTGGCCCTGTTGCTCAAAGTGTGATAGAGAACTAACCTTAAGTTGAAGAGGTGAAGGACAGCGCCCAGGCCCAGAGGTCAAGCCCCATGACTGACAAACAAGAAGCAGAAGAAGCAGAAGCAGAAGCAGGAGGAGGAGGACAGGAAGAGGAAGAAGGAGAAGCAGAAGGAGAAGGAGGAGAAGGAGAAGGAGGAGAAGAAGAGGAGGAGGAAGAGGAGGAGGAGGAGAAGGAGAAGAAGGAGAAGAAGAAGAAGAAGAAGAAGGAGAAGGAGAAGAAGAAGAAGAAGAAGGAGAAGGAGAAGGAGAAGGAGAAGGAGAAGGAGAAGAGAAGGAGAAGGAGAAGGAGAAGGAGGAGAAGGAGAAGGAGAAGGAGAAGGAGAAGGAGAAGGAGAAGGAGAAGGAGAAGGAGAAGGAGAAGAAGGAGAAGGAGAAGGAGAAGGAGAAGGAGAAGGAGAAGGAGAAGGAGAAGGAGAAGAAGGAGAAGGAGAAGAAGGAGAAGAAAGGAAGATATGGAGAGGTCCCAATATCTACTTCAGTAACAGATCCCCTAGCCTAACTTCCTCTCACTAGGCCCCATCTCTTAAAGTGTTCTACCACCTTTGAAAAGCACTCGGGGTCAGGATCTAAGGCTTTAAACTTCAACCTTTAAGGGACAGTTATCGAAGCCACAGCAAAGTTAGCATCCAAATAGTATTCTATTTTGCATGAAAGTCTGTGACAATTTATCTCCTATAGCTTCAAAAATTGTTTGCTTAGTACAAAATATCATTCTTAGTGTAGCTTTTGTGTGTGTATTATTTGCTTTCTCCTTGGACACTGGCCTCTTCCACTCTTCGGTAGACTCCCCAAAATCGGGAATTAGGTCTTGCTCAATTTAGTATCCTACATGCTAGACCTATGGAGGTTCTCAGCGGGTATTGGTTTGAAGGTTGACTGGATGGATGGCAATGCTGTATGTTGCTAAGCCCTAACTTGGTTGTGTTTTTTCCTCCCTCAAGGACTTTGGCATTATGTTCCTGCACCACCTTGTAACTATTTTCTTGATTACCTTTTCATATGTCAACAATATGGCCCGAGTAGGAACCCTGGTCCTCTGTCTTCATGACTCAGCTGATGCTCTTCTAGAGGTAAATATTTCCTTCATCTTTAAGAGTAAGAAATCAAGGACTCTTGAAATGCTTACAATCATGTATTCTTCAATGTTATTATGCAAGATGGTGCTTTGAAACTGAGGAATATTTATTTTTTGGTTAAATTAATAAAAAATAGGACCTTCAATTAATATATAAACTTTTACACAAGAAAAGTTAACCATGCTAGGATGCTTTATTAATAGAAGAATGAGAACCTTTACTATTGTACACTTAATGTTTTTTACAATGAGAAGTTATTTTAATATGGTTTCTTGAATTGTAAAAAAGGCTGATTTATCTGAAAATTATATATAACCCACTTTTGTTGTTATAATTATACATTTCAATAAAATTAAGTAGTTTATAGCTTTTATTGCATAAATATATGTGTAGATATATATTCCTTATGTTTTTTTTTTGGGTCCAGTCGTGGGGCCTGAACTCTGGGCGTGGGTGCTGTCCCTTAGCTCTTCACCTCAAGGCTAGTGGTCTACCACTGGAGCCATAGCGCCACTTCCAGCTTTTTTCTTTTTGCTTATGTGGTGGTGAGGAATCGAACCCAGGGCCTCGTGCATGCAAGGCAAGCGCTCTACCCACTGAGCCACCTTCCCAGCCCTATTCCTTGTGTTTTTACAATGAAAAAGGTAGAATTGCAAATTATATAGAGAAACTTTAAAGAATTTACTACACTCAAAAAGTGTCACACTCAAAAGTTTTTTCACTTTATACTAAGAAATTTGTATAGCCAGTCAAAATTTCTAATAGAAATGGGTCTCAGAATCTAAGTTTTTATTCCTATCTGCCTACTGCTTTACAATCTTTAAAACATTTATTGTTATTGTAAGTATAGAAATATCCTCAAATAATGGCCTGCTACTGTAGTATAAGCAGAAAGTCTATAAAGTTGAATCTATTCATAAAAGCAATTAGTTAAGGCTTAAAGTAGATACACAGAATCTTATTAGAAACCTCTGGTCTCTAAAGAGAACAGAAAAATCGTACTAATGGACTAGATAAGTCCAATAGTACTTTGAGGCTATGGGTTTTTTTTAAGCTTGATTGTTACATATTTTTTTGCTTTAAGATTTTTATTCTTTTTTTAAACTTTATTTTTAAAAATGTTGTACAGAGGTACAGTTACATGAGTAAGGCAATGAGTACATTTCTTGTCAGCATTGTTACCCCTTCCCTTGTTGTTCTCCCACTATCCCTTCCCTCCCCCCCCCTCCCTCACTCCTCCCGGGCCCTGAGGTTGTAAAGTTCATTTCTAACATAGTGTCTTGTGGGTATCATTGCTGCTATGGGCCTTCCCGTGTCCTTGTTTCAGCAACTGTTCAACATTTATTTTATTTTTATTTTGTCAGTCGCAGGGCCTGAACTCTGGGCCTGAGCACTTTCCCTCAGCTCTTCAGCTCAAGGCTAGTGCCCTACCACTTGAGCCACAGCGCCACTTCCGGCTTTTTCTGCTTTTGTGGTGCTGAGAAATCGAACCCAGGGCCTCATGCATGTGAGGCAAGCACTTTACCACTGAGCCACCTTCCCAGCCCTGATCAACATATTTTTAGAGAAGAAATATATATAGTAGAAGGGAGGTTTCTTGAAAATCAATTACAATTTGGTTAAATCTTACATCTACCTAGAAGTCAAAATTTATGCAGCAATATACAATGTATTAATCAGTCATGTAATCAGCCAACTTTAATTGCTGTAGAAATTGCTGGCATGATAATTATAGGGCAGTACTTCATAAAATATTGGTTGAATTATCATCTACCACTTTTATCCATAAAAGAAAAAAATTATAATAATCCAGAAATCAAGAATTCCAAGCAAATTTTCTTTATTATCTACCTGGGTTTTCTTTGATATTATAAATAAGATTTGAAAAGATCCAATTAATGACACTTTAGTATGGGATCTATGGTTTGGCCAGTTCTGACAAGTTAATGCAACTGCTTATATATTAGATATTAATGGGGAAACATAAAAGAATAATTACTTGGTTTGCCTAATACAAGAGAAGGCAGACATATTTTTCTTTTATCACAATTTTTGGGGTTATACTCAAGTATCCATGAAAATTAAATCCCATAATCCTGGTTTCCACTCTGAAGGTATTTCTTCTTAGGAAGACATTTATCCCATTGTTTTGTACATTCCTTAAAACCATTAAATCACAACTTCTGACAGTTCTGTGAGCAATCTTTTCCAGTATGACCCAGTTAACTTAACTTTCAACAAGTAGGAAATAACATTATGTATGTGGAAGATGGCATTTTCATTTTATAACGGTGCGTAGTAGGTACTATAGTTCCATGTAAAATTGTAAAAAGAAGTAATAGATCAAAATTCTGCAAAATTCTCCTACTCTTAAAGCCATCTTAAAAAGTGAAAGCAGAGCCGGATGCCAGTGGCTCACATCTGTAATCCTAGCTACTCAGGAGGCTGAGATCTGAGGATCACAGTTCAAAGCCAGCCCGGGCAGGAAAGTCCATGAGACTCTTATCTCCAATAAACCACCAGAAAACCAGAGGTGGTGCTATGGCTCAATTGGTAGGGTGCTAACCTTGTGCTGAAGAGCTGAGGGACAGCACTCAGGCCGAGTTCAAGCCCCTTGACTGACAAAAGAAAAAGAAAAAAAGGAAAAATGAGAGCAGATAAAGGGGCGTGGCTTTCTCCCTAGAGTAATATATAATGTAAACGTGGTCACTTAAGTCACTGTCATAAATTTTGCAACTACTTCTTAGAGATGTACTGAACATTAGTGACTTTCATCTAGGAAGTATCTTGGAACTTTGAAAATTCTACCAAAAAAAATGGATTAGCTGAAATAACATGCTCTTGATGCTTTCTTTATTTCTAAGTTTATGAGACTAAGCCAGGAAGCTGTCTCCTAGAAATATTCCTTGAGCCTATTTAAAGCAAATCTGCAGTCCAAAGTAGAAAGGAAAAAAATACTGCAGAAAAACTCCGTATTTTCTTCATAGTTTGTGACCTCAGCATTTGGGACTCTGTAAAATGTTTAAGGGTTGATATAACACTTGCTATTTTGATTTGTTAGGCCAGATTTCTGTTTTGGTGTCTCTGGCTTGCTAAGATCATTCATAATGCAAAAGTTTTTTACTTTTCCTGTCTGTTTTCCTGAAACCAAGCATATAATTGAATTTCTCAAGTTGCTAAATATTTTATTAAATCTATGACAGCCCAACATTCTACTTATGGTTAATGCTGCATTTAACTCAACTTATGTGTAATTTAAAAACACTGGTGCATGATGCATGACATTTTAAAGTAGCAAGCAATTTTATGCATTTGGTAAATTGTATATTATAGGGGACTCATGCATATTGAAGGAAGCTTTTCACTTATCAGTTTAACTACATTCATGTGTTATATTCCTACCTTTTATAGGCTGCCAAAATGGCGAATTATGCCAAGTTTCAGAAAATGTGTTCTCTCCTATTTATTATGTTCGCCATGGTTTTTATCACCACACGGCTGGGAATATTTCCACTCTGGTGAGTATACCAATTTTCTTTCTTTTCTCCCAGGAGAGAGTTGCATTTTTGACTAAGACTCTCCACAGCACAGGGTGAGTGGGATGTGGCAAAGATACAGATGATCTTCCACCTGTTTAATTACTTGCTCAGAATATGATGCAACCATAGAAGTTTGACCTAAGGAAGGAAATATGGCATTACAATTGGATGTCAGGGAGTTCCTTGCCAGCTTTCACAAAGGGTAGCTCTAGCAGAATCTCTTGGGATCTTGTTAGAAGTAAATATACCTGGGTGACACCCTAAACCCAATGACTCAGAAACTCTCTGGATGAGTTTAGGCTATCTATGATTTGGTGTCTGTCTTGTTGATGATTCTGTTACATATTAAAGTTTAAAATCCACCTTCCATCCTAAATACTTCTTCCCATCAGCTGTATGCAAAGCTAAAGAATATAGAAAATATAAACACCTGGGATTCTCTATTGATGTCTAGCTGGCTTTTTGTTCAAAGAAAATAATGACATATTTTTGATGGAATTTGACAATTCTTCCTGTAGAAAATAGGTCCAATGTTATCAATCTTTGTCTTGAAGGCTATTCCTTGATCTAGAAGAAAAAAAATCAAAAAGAACCTCCAGTCGCTCCAAATGTACCACTGGTAGGCTTTTCTTTCATGTAGAAACTGTAGATTTGTTAGTTTGTTTGTCTGTTGGAGGGACTGAGTCACATCTCTAGCCCTGTTTTTGCTGGTTATTTTTGATATAGGATCTGGAAAGCTTTTCTTCCCAGGCTGGCTTTGAACCATGATTCTCTCACTGTCAGGATTACAGGCATTTGTGTCAGATTGAAAGGTTGCTTTGAATGAGAAATTCAAGCAATGAGAATTACAAAAAGTAGGGGGAAGGGATATAGCCGAATGCTTAAATGGGGATGCAGGTTGACCCATTGTGATGATGAGATGTACAGGACACTATGTTGAAAACAAACGTTACAATGTTGGGGTATGGGGGGCAGAGGGAGTTGGGGAGGTGGGGAGGGAAGTGATGGTAGGGGAGAACAAAGGAGGTAACAATGCTCACTACAAAGTGTACTCATTACCCTACTCATGTAACTATAATCCCTCTGTGCAATATTTTCACAATAAAAAATATATATAATAAAAAAGTAGGGAAATGAATGAGTACACTTTTACTTTTCTGTTGGGTCATCAAAATGACCATGGTAAAGTTGGGGTCATTTAGTAAATTGTGTCTATCGCCAGAATTATTAACTTCCTCCACTGACCGCCCACCCCACCCCCAACAGCCTTGCCTTAAGTCTTATAGCCTTTTTAGATTCTTTTAAATGCAAATCTTTTTCTAAATAGCAGTACCAGGTGTTGACAACAGCCATTTATAAAACCTCATTTTATATATATAACGTGAGTCTTTGTAACATCTAAGCAAAGAATTCTTAATCTGGCTTAGAAACTCCTAAAACTATTTGTAAGGTCTATGTTGCAGGGTGCATGGAAGAGTGTGTGTGTGTGTGTGTGTGTGTGTGTGTGTGTGTGTGTGTGTGTGTGTGTGTGTGTGTACATCTCTGTGTCCTGGGTGCAGGGTTAATAGCTTTAATGGAGTCTCCGATATCTGCAAGTGTTTTCTCTTATCATGAAAACAGACTGAGTGTCCCCTCATACCTCTGGTAGAAAGCCCTTCAGAGCATGAAGTTTTCTAATACAACACCTTCAGGTCTTCTCTGCATACACAGCCTTAATCATCAACTCTCACCAGCACTTGTTCTTCACTGGTCCCCTGGAATTGCTCTGGTCATATTCTCATCACACCCTCACTAAAGCCAGAACACTGAAAATTAGTATTCTTTCCCAGCATGCTCTGAGCACTGTGAGCACACCGTACTTGGTATTCCTTACCAGCGTGCTGTGAGCATTATGAGCAGCTTTCACTGCACAGGTAATGATTCACACATGGCAGCTGCTGCCAGACTGGACCCTCCTCTTCTAAAGTCATTTCATCTTTATGTATTTCACTTATGGCTTTTTTCATACCTAATTACACAGACTACATCTATTCCTACCCCAGGAAGACCTCCTCATACTGTTTTCAGATACTGCCCTAAGCCAGTAGGCTCTTCTGAACTATGCCATGAGGTATTTATCCTGCCCAGCTGGATTGGTAGATATGCTGTGAGCTTTTCAACCCACTGAAGAAAAACATTGACTGAAAGGAACTTCTTACGGAGAGTTTTTTGAGAATTTATGAGTACAAATAGATTATCTGTGTTTTGTACACGTACTGAAGATCTCTTTGGGTTCAATAAAACCTTATCCCAGGTATAGACTAAGATGATGGGGGTAGAATGATTAAACATGAACATTTCATAAACCCATTTCTCCTTCAACTAGGAGAAGTAAAACTATTGCAACATCCAACTCTATAGCACACCCTCCCCTTACCTTCTATTTGTTGTTGTTTTTCAACACATTTGTTTGGAATCACCATTTCTTTGGAAGTACCTTCTAGGTTCCTCCTGACTATACTTGTGTTCCTTACAAACCATTAAAATATATTTAATCGGTAGGGTATTTCTCTCTCTTTCTCTCTCTCTCTCTCTTTCTCTCTCTCTTCCTCTGTCTCTCTCTCTGTGTATGTGTGTATGTGTATGTGTATGTCTCTGTGTGTGTGTGTCTGTGTCTGTGTCTGTGTATGTGCCAGTCCTGGTGCTTGAACTCAGGGCTTGTGCACTGTACCTGAGATATTATGGTGAGGGCTGGCACTTTACCACTTGATCCACAGCTCCATTTCTGGCTTTTTGGTGGTTAGTTGGAGATAAGAGTATCATGGACTTTCCTACCCAGTTTGGGGGCTGGCTCTGAACTGTCATCACCAGATCTCTGCCTCCTGAATAGCTAAAATTACAAGTAAGAGCCACAAACACATGTAATATATTTTTCTGACATTCTTAAGTCCACTCTTTTCAATAGTCAAGGTCTCAACATAGTTCAGTGTTTAGCTGGTACATTTGAACTAGGAGGTTCAAACCCTGCTTTTACTATTCAATTAACATTTTTGTGCTGAGGTTTCAAGTCTTAAATAAGAATGATGATACCTACCTCATTGTGTTGTGACATTAATTGAGTTTAATATATCTACAGAGCTAAGAAAAATGTCAGGTTCACAGTCATTGCTTTTAAAAGTCAAAGCCAAAGTGTTGGCTTTTCTTTAAGTGACATGATTTATGTAATGTGAAAAGAGAGACTTCTCAGGAATCAGTAAGAAAAAGACCAGCCATTCAATAGAAGCATTTGACAAGGCCCTCAACAGATATAGTTCAGGAAAAAATAGATGACAAAGCCAGATGTGGTAGTGCTTATATGTAATCCCAAGAACTCAGAGGGTTGTGGCAAGAAAATCACGTTTGGGTCCAGCCAGGTGAAAGTTAGAATCTATCTCAAAAACCAAATACAAAGCAAAAGGACTAGGGGCATGGATTAGGCAGTAAACTATTTGCCTAGCATTCACAAGGCCCTGGATTCAATTGCCAATACTGCAGTTGAAAAATCTATATGAAAGGTAAAACTATTAAAAAAAAAGATGCTTAACCTCAGCAGAAACACAAAGATGAAAACTATAGCCTTGCAAACACATAGAAGTCAATGTTGCTAGAACCTGAGACTGAGGTCTGGGATGGCAGAAGTCTCATTTTAAACCTAGTGTCTTCCCCATGGTCATGATTACTTAAGAGACCTGAAATATAACTTGAAACCTCACATTTTCTACCTTCCTTTGGAAATTCTGATTTATTTGGTGTTGTTGGAGAATGAGTATGGATTTTCTAGGATCCCTAAGTGATTCTACTGTGCAATCATGGTACAGACCTGTCTTCAAGTGGCTTGACTCTAGTCCAGCTTGTGCTATTGTAGTAGTACCAAAGACATTAGTGAGGGGAATGGCAGTGATATTATGCTAATATGCCATGCTAATGTATGCTAATATGTCAGTGGTAATTCTTGTTATGAATACAGTGAAAAGCAAGACACAGTTCTGGTGCCTTCTTTCTTTGCTTTGCTTTTCCTTTCTAGTTTGTAACCTTTAGAAAAGTACAGAAATGTTACTTCTGTCTGGGTTGAGAGAGATGACTTATCTCTGCATAGTTGCTCAGTTTTAACCTTTCCAAAAGAAGCATGTGTTGCTTTTGTAACTGAAAGATTCCTTTCTCATACTGATAATGAACCTCTACAGGATTAGAGATTTATTTTTTCATGTATGTTAGAATATTTATATCAACTTTATTGAAATATAATTTACAAGTCATAATACTCACCCTTTCAAAGTATGCAATTTAGGGTTTAGTGGTTTGTATTATCTCATGGTGTTGTACTATCACTGTAATCAATTTTGGAATTTGTTTGTGTGTGTGTGTGTGTGTGTGTGTGTGTTGATACTGGGGCTTGAACTCAGGGCCTGGGCACTGTCTCTGGGCATTCTTGCCCAAGGCTAGTGCTCTACTCTTGAGCCACAGCATTCTTTCTAGTTTTGTTTTTGTTTTGTGTTAATTGAAGATGAGAGGTCCATGGACTTTCCTGCCCAGGCTGACTTTGATCCACAATCCTCAGGTCTCAGCCTCCTAAGATATAATTCTAGGATTATAAGCATGAGCCATTGACACCAAGGAAGAATGTTTTTATCACCCCAAAAGTTATATTCATTGGTATTCTCACCCACCCACTAGTTCCTGTAATGATCATCTATTTGTAAGGATTAAGCTATTGTCTATCTCTGTGGACTTTCCTATTTTAGACAGTTCAAATGAATGGTTTCAAACAATATGACATATTTTTGACTTGGTCTTTTCAGCTATCCTGATAATTTCAAGGTTTGTCCAAGTAGTAGAAGGTACCAGTACTTCATATTCCTTCTCATTGCTGATAATATGCTATTATGTAGATAGACCACATTTTATTTGTCTGTTCATCAGGTGATCAACAACTTTTGTGTTATTTCTACTGTTTGACCACT